GCAGTCGACTAGAATGGCAGCCGCGTTCTTCCCAGGCCTGCTTTTTCCCAAAGTTGAAAGCCTCTTTCTGTGAAAACAGTGTAAAATCTCGTCTCTCCTGGCCTCCCTGCATTCCCAGGGGCTGTAGCAGAGTCGTTTTCACGTCGGCAAGCTAAAGGCCAATCTCTCCAGCAGCTTTAATATTTGATTAGCTGAGAGGGTAATTGCTTTTTGACTCTCCTAGACCAGACCTCCAACAGAAAGGGAATGTCGCTAGTGCTTGGGACTTGTGGTTTCCAGCCCGCTCAGTGGCATCCTTCAGACTGCAGCAGAGGGCCTGAGCCGTGGCATCCTTCCTGCCACAGTGAGAGCTGAGCTGCCCTAAGGCACTAGCTGCCCAGGCAGCCTTTGTGAAGCGAAGCTGGAGTGAGTCCGCCTGGGTGGGGTCTGGCCTATTTTTGTGTTTGCATATGGACACACTGGACAGTACACTGGATAGTTTCTTCCATGCCTCCTCAAAAAGGCTTGGCTTCCAAACCTGTGGGCTTGTTTTCTACCCACCGGCCTGAAGAGGCCATGTGTAAATTACTGATCAGGGTGCCACATCTGCAAAGAGAGGCATTATCTGAGCAGCAGAGACGTATTCTGCTCCTGGTTCAGGGCAAAGCCATGCTGCTGTTTGTGTGTTTGGGCAGAATTATTCATTGGCACTGATCTGCCGCGCTTTGTTGAAATAACTGGATTCTGAAATAAGTCTTCAGCTCCTGACTCGAATGCTGCCTGGAGCAACACAAAGCTTATTTTATTTTATTTTTTACTTCTCCCAGTAAAGAGAGGTGCATGCAGTTTCCCCTTATTTCTTGAGTTTTCTGTCTCACTTCTTTTCTTACTCCAAGATAACATGAAAAAGTACAGAATTTGGGGCAATACTGAAGGAAACGAGCACCTCACTCCTTGGCAGGCAAGGAGTCAGTGGGAACTCTGTCTGTTCTCCTCTCCTTGGCCCTTGTTAACCACCCTGAGTCCAGGAGAACTGGCTACTTGAGGCTGAGCACAGTGCTGGCTGAGGACCCTGCTGCATGGATCTGAAGACAGTGTTGCTTCCCAGCACATGGGACACATGTCGATGGTCATTCCACACACCCTAGTCTTTGTTAAACTCCAGGTAAAAGTCCCAGGAACCTAAGCATAGCCATCTCTGTCAGGAGGCTCCTTCAAGATGAGTTCCAAGTGATCCTGCTATATGGCACTTTCCTCGTAGAGGGGCCTCTGATGTGGCAGAGGGCTCTGGCAAACTCTGTTGAGGAGACACCTGCTGTCTTGCTTTGGTTCCTTCCTGTGGAAAGAAGTCTTGTTAGAAAGGTCTGGAGTGAAGCCAGTTGTTACCCAGGTAGAAGATTCAGGCACCCACAGTGACCCAGCACAGTGAAGATCCCCTCCTACTGGCCGTAGAGCTGCAGACCAGCCTCTGTCCCTTCCCCTTGACCTTCCTTGCCCTAGTCCTGAGCCCTGGCCCAGATTCAGGCCTCGTGGATGGTTAACCGGCTAGTGGACAACTGAGCCTGAGGCTTCTTTGTGTTGGCGCCCCATTTGTTATTTCCCCGTAGGAGTGCCTTACAGTGCTGCCTAGCGCTTCTCGTCCAGTCTGCTGACCCACTTGGAGCCTGCAGGGCCCTTCACCTAAATGCGGGTCACTTTGCCTCTTCCCTGCTGGCCGCTCCTGATACAGATGTACTGGAGCCTGCACGCTCCATGTGCATGTCAGACCTTCACCTTTGCTTAACCTGGTGCCTTAACCTCAGTAGTCAGAGAGTCCCTGTGGAGACACTCATTCAGGTAGAAACATTGGCTTCTCAGCTCCAGTACACTTTTACCAGGAAATACAAAAGATGGAATGTTTTAGCTTTTGTTATGCTGTTTTTCAATCACTCTTTTCGTTGTTTGCATGTTTGCTTTCATTAACCAAACTCAGGAATGTCATGTCACCAAGGCCAATGGATAGAGAAACTACGCCAGTTAACCAGATCTGAATCCGTAAAGTCAGTGGACTTAGCCTTTCTCAGGTTAGAAAATTACACAAACACAAGGATCTTCTTTTCTTTTGCTGTATAAATGTTTTCTGTTTATTTTTACACCTGTTTTCCAAGTGGGAAATGGGAAGCCTCTTCGATAAATTGTGATAAAAATGTTTCTGTGTGGTATGGGCAGTCCACTGAGCTTCCACTGCTGGAGGCCTAGGCTCGAGTGTGTTCAGCTGTCAGAATCTTGTCGTAAATAGCCAGTAGCCTACCATAGAAGATTTAAGAAAAAACACCTGTCTTTAAGGAATAGCAAAAGAAGGGAAATGCTTAGGTTGCAAATGAAAGTGTTGAACGTGGCGATGCAGAAGACTGCTTGTTCTTGTTCTTGTTCTTTTGCTCCTGCATCAGATCAGTGTCATTTTCCCTTATTTCTGCTCATGCAGTACAGAATTGACTAAAATTTGGGGTTTGGGCTATTATACCACTCTGTGTTGAGCTATTTGTAATAGCTAATGTGCTAACTTATATTGTGTTGTTTCTGTTTTCTAGATTTTATTGCCTTTTGGTTTGGCATAACTTATCCATATTTTTGTTTACATCATTTTTTAAATATCAATAACAGTAATAATATAAAATGAAGTTGTATTGTCGACAAGACCCCAAGTTTTTATGGTCATCTGTCATGTAATTTAAGAGCACCAGTTCCTAATGTATAAAGTTCTCTCTCCTTCAATAAACAATATAGAAAGTACTGTCTCTTCTCATAATGGCTTCATTACAATGCTGGTTTGCAGGGCTGGTGAAAGCCCACCATGAGCCCTCCATGTCAATTCAAAGTCAAGATTTGCACTTTAGTGAGAGTGAGCTGCTAGGACTTTAAAGTCTCTCTTAATATTAATCTTACAGGTAGACTTTTTTTCTAAATTCATCAGCCTACAATATTCTCATCTGCCTTTCCTATGTTTGTGAAAAATATAGTGTAACTTTTTTAAAGATGCAGGTGTAGTGTTATAGGCCTTATTTGCCAAATCAGGGCATGATTTCCTTCAGTTCTGAGACACACCTGCGAAAGCTCGTGTGTGGCACGTCCTCCCTAAAGCTCTTCCCCAACGTTTTTGCCCTGATTTCATCTCCCCACTGTGCTCTCCAAATTAGATGGACGAGTGGCAGGCAGTAGGCCACTAGGCAAGGGTGCTAGTCGTTCCTGAAGACCACATTTTGGGAATAAAGAGTGAAAAGTAAAAAGTAGGTGTTTCTGTGAGAGGGAGCAGCCTTCTGGGAGTTGCAATGTGCTTGGAAATATCTGCACTGCCGCCCTTGGCTGCCCTTGCTCTTCCATCAACACAGCCGTGAGGTGCAGCAGCTGTCCACTTGGAACCTTTCAAAGCACCATTCACATTCACTTTCTCAAAGAAAGACACTGAAGAGACTATAAAATGTGCTTCTGGTTAAGCATTTACCAAAGGTGACCCCTGAGCCACACTCCCTAAGACACACCCAAACAAGTTCATGCTCAGCCTCTCCTCCTCCACCCTCCGGAAACCAGTTGGGGCTCACACCCATTCTATTCAAGGAACAACTGGACTTCATCCTCACAAGAAACCTGCCATAATCCACTACGAAAAGAAACCAGTTAATGTTTCACTGGATCAAACTGGACCCACGATGTGGTCAGAGCCCAGATTCATCTGACTCACAGGACAAACTGGAGTGGCTGGGTAAGTCCAGAAGTTTGGCATTATCAAGGAGAAGATATGCAAAGATGTTTCCAGACAGGTGGAAAGAGACAGCATTTTGTTCATCTCTCCCCACCCTCAGGAGATGGTGACTTGAATCTCCCTGGACTGTTCCCCTGTCCTGTCCTTTGTCGATGACTTTAATCAGTGGTTCTCACATTAAAACACAAAAACAAAAGCAAAATATCAGGACTCTGTCATGGACAACAGAACCAGGATCACTCTGGATGGGGCCTGAGTGTTTGTATTTCTTAAGCCTCCCTGGGTGATTCCCATGCATCCTGAGAGTTAAGAACCACTGGATCAAATGAAGCAAGTTGCCCTGAAATAAACGTTTGCTTGGCACACGGTGGTCCACAGCGGGAAGGATGTCAAAAGGAGGCAGAGGGCTGAACGGCTTTAGTCGCCCTCCCACTAACAGCTGCTGTCTGCCCTTTTCCCACAGACACAGACAGCACTTTGGAACTTGTGCTCGTGGCCTGCAGTCATCTTCGTAAACCTGATCTCTGCACACCTCTTACTGTCACCCAGGTGTGGTTAGCTTCTGCTGATCCAGGACATGCCATTGCCAGGCAGCCTGGAGAATGGAAGTGGCCCAGTCATGGCCACAGGTGACTAAGCTGGCCGACAAAGGGAGCCTTGTCCTCTCCCTTTCATTTGTTCTTTCCTTCTGGTTATGCCGCAGTTGTCCGCAAATGCATGCATGTGAGCATCCACTCCCAGTTCAGGCTCACCCGATGAACATGCACTTCATCACTCTGGACGGTGGTGTTTAAAATGGAAAATCAGAAGTGCTTCTTGCCCAGAAAGGCCTAGGAAATTTGGGAAATCTTGAGCTGTATTCAGATTTGCCTTGCTCAGTAGAAGAACTAGACTTTAAAATGAACCCGTCATTCTAAATCCAGGCGTGTGTTGAAGTGATGATTTTCAACCTCCACTGCCAGTTACAGGTGAATGGAAACTTAGAAGGACAGCACTTCTTACCTCCCTTTATGAAGTGAGTAATTTAAATGATGACAGCTGTTCCTCACTGATGGCGTGCTTTTCCAAAGGGTTTGAAGTCTCTTATAAAAAATGTGATCTTCATGCCCACAGTGCTTGCCATGTGGGGAACACCCACAGCAGCAATGACTTTATTCAGAGCCACCGTGGGAAGCTGATAGTGCCGAGGAGCAGGAATGCAACTAGAAACTTGAACTTGAGTCTGCGGGGCCTCACCTAGGACTTGTTCTAAAGCAGCATCATTAGAAACTACATTCCTGACTGGGGAAAAAAATGTTTTAAATTTATTTTTATTAGTGTATTAAATTCTGATTGGAGCAGAGGATTGTCCCCCACCCTCTGCCCCGATGGTACATAATACCCAGGAAGCCCAAGGCAAAACACACCCAGCAGAAAGATATAATTTATTCTGCTGTTTACATCTCTTCCTTCGTAGCTTGGGCAGAAAAATCCAGTAGGAAGAACAAATTGTTCCCATAGCTGAACATACAGGAATTCCAACTCATGTGCACTGACTCCCAGTTTACCTGGACAATGGGGAAATTCATTACTCCTCCACCTTTATTTAATATTCTTCCATTCAGGGCTATGGGCTTTCAGCAAATCGGCTAGAGTTCATGAGTTTATACAATATTTCGGATCCTGCCATACAATCTCAGGCAGCTGTTGGTCTGGGGGAAATTCCGCCGGCTTTTGTCCAGACGAACCCAGACAGACTCAGGAGAATCACTTTCCGTGACTTCTGTGTTCTCCCCATAGGGTCTGCTGTTCTGAAGCTGAAGAGCTGCTATTAGCGCAGTAATTTTTTCAAATGAGCATTGAGCTAAATTATCTCAGATGTATAAAGGAAGATCTCCCACTGTGTTATGGAAAATTGCTTCCCAAATTACAAGACTATACAAAGCACATATTAATTTTGGGCCCAAGGACATCCAAATTGCCTTAGCTTCAGCACTGTATCGTGATGACACACTTTTGATAATGTCAGGTTCTGAGAATACCACAAGGCGCGCATCCTTATGAAAACACACCAAGATCCTTTTTCACCAGGATCGGCGCTCACATACCCACGCCTAGCTAGAGGTGTTTTACTCTGAGATTCTTGCCTTTTGCATAGGAAATAAATTCCAATTGCACATGCAGGGAAGGGAATTTGAATTCTAAACTGGGTCAGCCTCCCCAAATGGCTTTCTCGCTGCTGTCCGGAGTTAGGCAACTGAGGAAGCAGCGTCAGCAGCCCCAGTGCCCAGAGGAGCTGCCTGATGACAGATGTCTCAGGAAGCAGCTCCCGCTTGCGCACGTCCATTCCACGCTGAGCTGAGGGGAGCAGAGCCGGGCACTGGCTGGCTGGCTGGCCTCACGCAGAGCGGCACTTAAGGTTGAGCGTGTGTCAGCACGTACAACAGACAGCGAGTCCTGGGAACTAGCCCTGCCCAACCGTCCCCAGATCAGTGCCTCTGGCACCCAGTCAGCTCATACGCAGGCCACACAGCGTGTCTCTAATAAGGACTTGCAAAAATCAAAATAAACATTTTCAAAAATAAGAATTATTAGATTTTGCCTGGTTTGTTTCAGCTACTCTTGTTTTCATTTTTTACTTTTTTGAGGAAATATCACAAAGCAAATCCAAGACATAATGACGTTTTATGCTCACGTGCCTTAGTACACATCTAAAAAAGATGTTTATTTTTTCCACATAGTCACAAAGCAATTACACACCTATGAAATTGACAATAATTCCTTATCGTCTGACGCTTAGTTCCAAATCAAATTCATCTTATTGCCCCAAAAACATTTTTTGTTTAGTTTGTTCAAACAGCAAACTTTTTACAAAATAAAAATAAGAACACGCGTGCGCCTCCCGAAGGCCTGATAAATCATGATGGGTTGTGGCTCCCCAGCTTCCCTCTCGCCTCCTCTAAGGTGCAGGGTCCCGCTTTCCCTTCAGAGGAAGGAAGTCCTGGTGGCCTGTCGTCGAAGTCCCCTTCCTTTTGGGGCCCCCGGCCCAAGCCAGGCCAGCAGGGATGTGATCCTTGAGGGGAGCTGAGCGCACACACTGGACTGCAGCCTCAAAGGGATTGGCTGTTAGCTCCCACTCCTTCGAAACTACGTTGAACTCTGTTCTTCCGAAGACCTGTTTCTTTTTATTCCTTAAATTCTATCAACTGTGCAACAAATGGCTTCTCTCAAGTTAACCAGAGCTGGTGTCTGACACAACGCCTTTCCCACACAATTTCTCCCCATGCATTTGCAATGTCATCCTGACCTTTGCACCTAACAGACACTGCAGCATGAACAACAGGAGTGGGCCCTGCCAGGGTGCCCATGCCCGACCTCCGTGCTCAGAGAGCTGTGCCAAGGTAGGAGGAAGACTTGTTTAATTGAGAAGAGGTGCTTCTTCAGGAGCTTGCTGTATCGCCAGCATGAGGGCAGTGACACTCAGAAGGGGCTGGACAACCGACTAATGGAAACGACCTGCTCGAGAAGCAGGGTTGGTTCCTACAGAACTGAGCAGAGAGAGGAGCCTTCATCGGCAGGGCCCACGATGCACTCACCAAAAAGATGTCAAGCATTCACACGCTCTTGATTCAGTTCTTCCGCTGGAAGAGTATTTCACCTTAAAGTATAAGATATTCATGACATAAAAGGCACAAAAATCTGTGAGAGAGGGCAGAGGATGGGTAGGAGGGTCCCCGCTGTCTAGGGGTCAGTGGGAGGAGGAGGGAGATGGGAGGTGGTCAGCAGCCCAGGAGCGCCCCAGGAAGCTCGAGGCAACCAACCCCGAAGCCAAGGCCGCTCTCTGGGTCGGTTGGTTGCCTGTTTAAACTGGGATAGTGATCTTAGGAGCAGAAAAAGCTTCCTGCACGTAAGAGCTTGGCTGACAGAAAAAGTCCACAACCTGCAGGCTGGATGGAGCGCCGGGCTCTGCAGCAGTCTTCCGGGCTGCCAAAGGGCGAGGGCCTCGAAGGGCACGGCCCCTCAGCCATCCTGCCGGTTTCCTCCGAGCCTCCCTTCACTGCCTCTCCCACTTTCCCATCGGTTTGCAGAAATACAGATGCTGCTGTGGGGGTGGGCTCAACTCAACCCCCTGCCAAGAGCTGTCCTGGAGGGGTTCACCCTGGCCTCCCTCCACCCCCACCAGGACTATGGAGTTGCCTGCAGTGAAGTCTATATTTTTTTCCCAAAGTAATTATTTTCTCCTGTATGTTTATCATTAATTTAGAAAGCCCAGCACAAACCCCAGTGCTGCGCCCCCTCTGTGGGTCTGTCCCCCGCCATCAGGAGCCTGGGCCTCCCGTCCTCCTCTGCCTCTCCTTTTATTTCAGTGGCCTGCTGATTGGAAAAGAGCGGCCGCCTCCCCCCACACACACACACAATTGTCGCCGCCAATTAATGCATTGTTAGGACACACAATGGCGTTACTGTAGCCAGTGGGACGGGAGGCCTTTGTGCTTCTCCAGCCGGCCGTGGGGGCAGTCAAGTTTCATTTAGAGACTTAAAACACAACGCCAGGAGAAAAACGCTATCAGAAAAGCCAAAAGAAAAAGGAGAAAGAAAAAAGCACAAAAAAAGGGAAAAAGGAGAAAGCGAAGATGAGGATGTAAGAAAAGAAGGCGAATGTTGAAAAGAAGAGGGAAAAAAAACCTGCTATTGAGGAGTTCACCCGAACTCCTGAAAGGCCCCGGCGGCAGCTCCACTACGATGCCCTCAGAACACGAGGGACCTGGGCTGCACAGTCATCCGTCGACGGTGCAGGCACACTCAGCCGCCACAGGATTCCCCCACTGCTCCATTTTCCAGGCTTCACAAAGGAGAGGCAGGGGCTGGGGGAACCGGCCTGCGGCCAGCCTCCCAGCCCCCGGCAGTCTGGGGGGTCATCTTTCCCTCTGACAGGAAAATTGGATTTTATTCTCGAAAGCTTGTGACTCATTTACACAGGGTATGTTTCTGTAAGGATGAGACACACGGATTCGTTCAGAGTCACTGTGTTGTTTCAAGTGCCCTTCGAGGCCCTCGCCCTTTGGCAGCCCGGAAGACTGCTGCAGAGCCCGGCGCTCCATCCAGCCTGCAGGTTGTGGACTTTTTCTGTCAGCCAAGCTCTTACGTGCAGGAAGCTTTTTCTGCTCCTAAGATCACTATCCCAGTTTAAACAGGCAACCAACCGACCCAGAGAGCGGCCTTGGCTTCGGGGTTGGTTGCCTCGAGCTTCCTGGGGCGCTCCTGGGCTGCTGACCACCTCCCATCTCCCTCCTCCTCCCAGACAGCGAGGCTCTCCAGCCCTGCCTCCGCCCTCTCCTCCTCCACCTGCCTCGCCACGCCCTCCGGCTTCCAGAAAGTGCAGACTCTCCAAGCCAGCCTTGCGACTGCAGGAGGACATGCATGTTTTCAAACAGTTCTTGGAACAATGGAGCCCAACGCAGCCGATTGTAACTGTACTTACTTAGCTGCCACGTGTGTTTGTTTCCCTTCAAAAGCGTTAAATATGCCTCCGCATTCCCTCCTCTCTGGGATGGACCAGACTCCTCTTTTTATGTTGTTTCTTTTTTTTTTTACAGATAAGCTAATGGAGACATCCACTCCATGCCAGGTTTAAATAAAATCACCCCATCCTAGAAACAAGACGGGTTTCACCCAGGTGTCTCACTGTTTCATCTCCTCTTTTCTGTTTCTCCACCTGTGAAGTGGAAGCAAAAGAACCGAGGCTGTTCCCAGGCATCTGCTCGAGCTGGGAGGGGCTTTGGGGAGGCACCCAGGAGCTGGGGACCGGGTCCCATCCTCATCCTACCCACACCTGCTAGTGGGCAGGGGGCTGTAGACTCAGGCAGCTGCGGTGCTCATGTGTAAAGGGGTTCACAGTGCCCCCAAGGCACTGTGATGAGGATCAGAAGAGGGGCCCTATGAAGGGGGAGGGGTCCTGGCACCCCACCCTGGCACTAGAAGCACCTGCTGTCTTCCTGGCAGCAGGAGGGCTGGGGGTGGGGTCTGCGCAGTTCCTCTCCCTGCTGTGTGGAACAGTTCCCTGCCTCAGGGATGCCTCAGCACTCACTGGCTCCCTCACCCCCAAAAAAGGGCCCGTCTTGATTCAGTCAGGACATGAAAAGTGGTGTCACCAATACCCAAGTCAGGAAATGCAAATCCAAGGAGAGTTCTGGAACAGTGATGACAGCTTCCTCTCGAGGCTGGGGCCCTAGGCAGGGGGCGATTTGGCTCCCCCGATGTGGGTTAGTGAAACATCGGCCTCGTGTGGCACACTGGGTGCGGTGGGTCCTGAGAGGGTTCTGGGAAGAAGATTTGGGGTCTGCGTCGGCACCTCCTGCCCTCCCTCTGCCTCAGCCATGCTGTGGGAGGGGTGGGGGGACCTGCAGGCTCCAGAACCTGCAAAGAAAGAGCCTAAGAGACCTCGGAGGGGGCCAGCCCAGCGTGGCCCCAGCACAGGAGATGTCCCGGCTGAAGCCGGTGAGCCCAGGAGCTCTCGTCCCTCCCACACCCCACACACCCTCCAGGCCACGTCTGTGATCAAGCTCACCACCGAAGGATCCTTCAGGTCCCGGCGCCTCTGTCCCGCTGTCACTCTCCCATCCTCGTCCTCTCTCTTCAGGCCATTTCACTCTCTTCCTGACCAGCCTTCCTGTCCTGACTTCAGTGCGGCCCCAGCATGGTCTTTGTCAAAAACAAGCCTGGCCTCGCTTCACCCCAGCTCAGAAATCTCTCCTGGCCTCGGTCGACTTTGGGACAGAGCCCGAGTCCAAGCATGACCAGGAAAGCCCTGGGCGATGAGGTCGTCCTTCCGGTCTAACTTGGGCTCCAGCCTCAGGCTGGCCTCGTGGCCGTGGCCCCGCACTCCACAGGGCCCCAGGCTTGATTTCAGGCTCAGCCTTGCTGTCTTGAAATTCTGAATCACTTTTGAATGTGGGATCGGCATTTTCATTTTACACAGGGCCCCAAAACCGTGGTGGCTGGTCCTGCCTCCCCTTCTCCCGCTTCACATTCCTCTAACACTAAACCTCTTACAGATCCCCAAAGTTGTTTGCAGTTCCTTCTATTTTGAACATTCTCCCACCCCCGTGTCTATTGCCAAGCTCCTCGTCACCCGTCCAAACCCATCTTACATGTCCCCTTCTCTGAGGATCTGCCCTGATCCTCCACCAGATAATTTATTGCCATTTGCCAATGCCCACTTCTCAGCTGATCACAGCTCCTTAAAATTTATTTCCTGCCTCATCTAGTGGTTCTGAACCCGAAGGCAGCAGACAGTGTGTCCTGCATGGTCCCGGGTTCCAGGTTCCACGGCACTGAGCCAAGTGCTACATTTAGGAAATAAATGTTTGTTGAGAGCATCACTAAGTTTTCACTCCTGTGACCGCACCGCTGCTGTGTGTGCAATTACTGGGACTCTGCATCCTTGCTCCAGTCTCGCCTGGGTCCTGCAGGGCCGCCATGCGAATCACCGCTGTCGAGGCAGTGAGGCAGCCTCTGGTGTGTGGTGTGCCTCCAGGCCAGGCTGTCCAGTAGGACTTTGTGCGGCTGTGCTGTCCACACGCCACATGTGCCACTGAGCACTGAGAACGGCATAGCTGCTGCAACTGAGGAACCGACTGTTTCGTTTTATCTCGTTATAATTAATTTAAATGTGGCTAGAGCCTCCCACACTGGAGAGTGCAGCCTTCCAGGACTGACTGACCCTCATGTGGGCCAGGGAGCAAGTCAGCTCACAAACCGTGTTGCTTCAGAAAGACTTCCACGAATCAAAGCCTTTGAGCCCCTCCGGAGGAGAAACATTTCCAATGACAGGGAAACCAGTCTTTTCTGTCTTCCTCGATGGAAACCAGCAATCTCTCTCTAACACAGCCTGCCGAGGACCACAGCTCGGGGCTCCCTGGTGTAGACACACTTGGTCTTACCTGTGAAATGAGGAGAAAAGCCTTCCACACCTGGGAGGGAAACCTGTCAGAGTTAAGCGTTTCTATTATGATCACCATGGGCAAGAAGGTGTCTGCATTCCTTTCCCTGAAAGCTGACAGAGGATTCTGATTCCACAACCGTGCGAGGCCAGGACACAGGTCTGGGCAGGACACCGGGGAGGGCCGCCGGGGGCTGGGCTGAGGACTTCGAGTGAAGCAGAGAGGTGGGGCGAGGACTCTGCTTTCAAGGGGTGCTGCTCCTCAGTGAGGACTTGGGTAACTAGTACGGGGACAGAAGGTCACCTGCCACCATTTCAAAGATGAGAGCAGCCGGGCAACAGAAATCGCAATAAATCCAGCCAGAATCAGGACAACGCACACAAGTCACAGGGGAGCGAGCCCCCACTTCTTGTATTTACAATGATCCACAAACTTGCAGAAAAGAGACAACCCCTATAGAATTTGAATTATAATTCCAAATCCATTTTAAATTATCATCATCAAAAAGACAGATTCTCAGGCCTCCGAGTGAAATGTGGGTCCTTCCCCTCACCTTTGCTGCCCCCACTGTCTTCCTCCTCCTGAAAAGTTGTTCGAACTAGTTATTCTCGGCCAAGCTAAGGTTACAGAAGTCCTGAAATGCTTGCCCACTAAAAATATACTTTGTCCGTCAATATTTGGGTCTAGTACGGTATTTAAAAAGACTTGTGGACAAAAAACGTAAGCCAAGCCCCAGAGGTAACACTATTTGTCTGGTGTGACAAGGAACAAAGTCTAGGGAGCAATACAGGGACGCATATGAGTCCGGTTAAGTCACGGGTTGCAAACTCCATGCACGGTCAGAGCTGGAAAAGGTAGAGACCTCTGCGGGCTACAGTTGAGCAAGGTCACCAAGGACACGAACACAGCCGTTCCCAAGGGACAATAAGTTGGAGCCATCATGGTGGCCCTAGGAGGCTCCTCTGGCCCCAGGACCAGCCGCTCCTCAGGGAAGCACTCCCAGGAGGAGGGTCTTGGCCAGGGAAACTGTGCACCTCAGAGGTTCAAAGACACACAGTCACTCCAGCCTGCCTCCCCACACCCAACCCTGGGGCCCCGTGGAAAACCATGAGATCCCCTTCCTGCCCGCTCCCACACACATACGCAGGCTGTCACCCCCTCCTGGCCACGGCTCCTGTTAGTAACCCTGATCCAGCATTGGGGTGCCAGGGACACAGAAGAGGATAACAGTCAAGAAGATTTCGGTGCCTGCCACCAAAGGGACTGGCATGAATGCTCAGCTCTACCATTTACCATGAGCTGTGTGACCTTCAGCAAGTGACTTAGCTTTCCTGAGCCCTCTGCATCTGTCAAATGGGGGTGGTAATGGCTCCCCTGCAGGATTATGATGAAGATTAAATAACAGATGTACAGAGTTCAGCAAATCATTTGGTGCATCTTTAGCCTTAATAGTGGTGGCTCTTCCTGTTGACATGACCTTTCCTGGGGAAGAGGAAAACCGAGCTGGACTCACAGCCCCTTTCCACCCTCTTCCTTTCTCATCTGTGGGCTGTTTGATCGCTAACTGTCCCTGTTCTGACAAAGCCTGTTGCAGTGCAGTTTCCCTGCAGTGCTTTGCAAAGAGCAGAAACTTGAATTGTCTACTATTTTCATAGTAATTTGGCTTATTCTTTTTTCTGAGACTGGTAGAACAGGTTAACCTTAGGAAAACTGCACAGAGTGGCATCAGGAAGAGTTTAATTTAGTTTCTGGATTTGACTGATCACAGTAAATTGTAAAAAAGAAACACTAATGAAACCATGTGCTGTCTGAAGTTCATTTAGTCATTCAGTGAACATTTACATTTACTCACCCACCAGGAGGCAGGCCCTATGCTGCATACACATGCTGCCTGTCTGTGTGGTCTCATTTTTATGATAATAAAAATGCTCATCAATAAATATCCCTTAAATCATCAAGGAGATAAGGACAAATGCTTGGGTCTGGAATGATGTAGAAGTTTATTTTTAAATGTGTATAATTTGCCATAGATATAACAGATAAAAGAAAGAATATCCAGATTATGTAAAGATCACCTAAAATCCCATTAAAAATCATACCAGAATTAGGCAGTTTACAGAAAGGAGAACTTAAATTGCCAATAAACACACAAAAGATATAATGGAATATTATGTAATAGTTAAAAAAATAGTTAATATAGGGGTCAGCCCAGTGGCACAGTGGTTAAATTTGTGTGCTCCACTTCAGCAGCCCAGGGTTCACAGATTCAGATCCCAGGTGTAGACCTATGCACCGCTCATCAAGCCATGCTGTGGTGGTGTCCCACATACAAAATAGAGGAAGATTGGCACTGATGTTAGCTCAGGGATAATCTTCCTCAAAAAAAAAAAAAAAACACTTAACATAGAATTACCATGTGATGCAACAATTCCACTTCTGGGTAAACACCCAAAAGAACTCAGAGCAGGGACTCGAACAATTCTTTGCACACCCATGTTCACAGCAGCCCTATTCATAATAGCCCAAAGGTAGAAGCAACCCGAGTGTCCATCAACAGATGAACAAGTAAACAAAGTGTGGTCCGTCCATACACATGGAGCCTCAAAAGTGACGGGCAGTTTGACGCGTGCTATAGCTTGGAGGACCTTGAAGAAGGGGTGCTAAGTGCAGCAAGCCAGGCGCAAGAGGACAAATACTGTATGATTACGCTCACACGAGGTCCCTACAGGAGTCAAATTCACAGAGACAGAGGGAGAATGGGCTGCGGGAGGGAGGGGAGTTGGTGCTCCGTGGGGACAGAGCTCGGCTGGGGAAGAAGGAAAAGGTGTGGAGATGGATGGTGGCGATGGTTTCACAACAACGTGGATGTCCTTAATGTCACTGATCTGTGCACTGAAAAATGGCTAAAGCAGCCAATTTTATGTAACAGATATTTAACCACAGTGAAAAAAACAAGTATTTCCAAACTTGGATTCCAAAATAAATAGCATTTTTTTAATCTTTAATTATGCTTAAGAAATATTCTTCCTTCCTCTCTCATCACTGAACTTCTCCAGTGTGCCTTTACTATTAAAACTGCAGAAGAAAACAGAAAGAACCACCAGGCAGATGAAGAAGGAAGCCTAAGACAAATCATCACGTGGAAAAGGTTGACTGCAGGATTGATACATACAGCATTTTCCCATTCATGTTAAGGAAAAGAAACACATTGTGCGTAAAACAACACAGAAACGTCTCAACAGAAAGCCCCAAACTGGTCACAGACTTCTGATTTATCTTTAGTGTTGAATAATTTTAAAAAAGATCCCGAATCCCCAAACCAGCGGAGAAAGGCTGGGGTCTCCCGCCCAGTGGGTTTGGCACACCAGGCCAAGGGCTGCCGTCTGACCTGACGCCCTCAGGGGTGAAACACAGGCCGACACAGCCCAGGGCGAAGGAGACCACACAGACTGTACTGTCTGTGAAGTCGGAGGTTTGTTTCCGGTGTGGGAAGCACTCCCCACACAGTTCTTTCTGGGAGGCCACGGGTCAGCTCAGCCTTCAGTAGAAAGGCAGGGGTCTAGATGAATCGCCTTTCACAGGTGTGATGCGGGAGCCCACGGAGCCTCCCGAGGTCAGTTTCCTCATCTGTGAAATGGGCGTAACAGGAATGCAGATTCGGGCCTGGGGAGAGTGAAGCGTCTGGCACACATTGAACCCCCAGCAAATACGACTCGTGTAAAGCAGTGGAGGCTCAGGTCTTTAACAGGCTCGATCTCCCCTCGCTCGGCCACTGGCACTTAACAGGATGTCAGGAAATAGGACCCTGGGCCTTTCCACCTGGACACACGGTTCTCAGCCCTTAGTGGGCATCCAGGGCATACGAGAAGCTTGTTAAAAATACAGACCCCCAGAGTCCATCCCAGACGCTGTGACTCAGCTGTGTTGGAGCGTGGCCCTGGGGCCTGTGTTTCACCTTCAGGGCCATCTAGAGCCACTCAGGAAATCCTCTTCTAGGGGCAACATCTGAAAACATGAGACAGAGTTCAAGTGCCATGCCCCCTCCCCAAACGTTCTTCTCTCCACTCTGTCCTTCCTTCTGTCTCTACAAGATGACCACTCCTTTCCTTCTCCCGTTCCCCAGAGTTCTGGGAAGTGCAGTTTCTAGAAAAGGATGCCCTTGCTGTGTCTTGCCAAATTCTCAATAGGACTGTTGTGGTTCTTTTTGGTGAGGGAGATAAGCCCCAAGCTGACATCTGCTGCCAATCCTCCTCTTTTTGCTGAGGAAGACTGGCCCTG